CCATCCATCCATCCATCCATCCATCCATCCATCCATCCATCCATTAATTTGTCACTGACTTGTTTTTTTCCTAACATGTCGACTACCTATTTAATCTGTCCATCATTTCCATAGCAGCTCAAACTCCATGCATTTCCTTATTTTGACCAGCTGCAAATTTCTTTAACAAACAAGCACTAGATATAATACAGAATTTTTAAAAATCGAACGTTTTGAAAAAGCGTATCTAAGGCAACTGCAAACAACAACCAAACAGCTGAAACTTAGGGTAGTATTTTGAAGCTGTTTACACGGTTGAAATTTCTAGTTTCATTAAGGCCCACAGGCTTTAACAGCTCTTTTAATAATTAATGATGTTTTTTATATATATTCGACATTATTTCTTACCACTTTGTGTGAAAGTTGGAAGAAAACAACTACAATAAAGTTTTTTCTGTTGTTTTTTAACGTACAGAAGACTAGCCCTGTTTTAAGCTTTTTTAGTTCTCATATTGATATGTACATCTGAATTAGGAATATGCCAACGAATCGTTTTTTCGTTTTTAGTTTATTGGTTTTTATCTTGCCTACGCGCACAGCAGGTTTGGAGCAATTTGAAGATTTCATGATATCGYTTTAATGGATATAAAAGATTTAAGATATGAGTAGATTTTTTGTGCGTGAAAAACATTAAAATCGAAGCATTAAGTGAATGGAAAAGTATTTTGTATCATCATCGTCATCATCACTATCATTATCACCATCATCATCACCATCATCACCATCACCATCATTATCACCGCCAACATCACCATCATTATCACCAGCAGCACCGCCACGACCATCATCGCAAACATCCCCACACCAACATCATCTTCACTATCAACGTCTTCTAGCTCCATCATCACTGTTATCAACTTCATCATCACCACCATCACCATCATGACCAACATCATTATCGTSACCACCACCATCATCATCATCTTCATCACCATCATGATCTTGATCATTACTATCTTCATCACCACCGTCATCATCATCATTATCTAATCTTTATCAAAACAACCACCATCATCACTATCTTCATCATTGCCATCATAATCATTATRATCATTATTATCACCATCATCATCTTCATCATTGCCACCATAATAATAATAATAATGATAATAATAATTGGGATGATAATTATTATCATTATTACCATGTACATGTGTAGTGTAAATAAAATTTATTAGTCGCTTCAATGATCTTCATCTCAATCTCCATCTTGGGGATCAGGACATAGATATACATTTATTTCAATAAAATTAGTCATCTGAAAAGCTACAAAGCTGAGACCGGCAAGGATTATRGATAGATACATTTTACATGTTTCAGCCGCTTGATAACTGTTGATAGACTTGAGATCTTTTACCAGTAACAAGTTAACCTCCTCTGAGCATCCTCAGCTGCTGCAGTTTGTGTCAAAAGCTTTACTTTTTGGATATGAAATATTTCCCATGATTCTCAGCAATCACAGCTTTCTAGGWTTTTGGTGACTAACTTTAWTGAAATAAGTAATATAYACAAGACTGTATTTGAGAGACCTTCTAACTGAATACAATCATTGAATACCAAGCTCACACATTTATCAAATTTAAGACATTTTGAATATCACGAGTCACATTTTCCAATAATGCTCATAGCACTAGCWGTCATGCTCAAATTATGAATAAAGATATAATGGACGACTCCATTGAACACAGCTTGAAGGTAAATAAATAAAGCTCACAACACGTACGTTTTCTTAAAAGCATCAATCTAACTTAGCGTTTAAGCATTTATCATGAGATCTGACACCAAGCAGATGGTRTTTTTTTATTCAACATACGGCGAGATAAAATACGTCTCCGGACAAGTTTACTATCGCTTTGGTTATTTGTTGACTAGATAGTATTTGTTACATGTTCACATAGTGAAATAATAAACCAAGGCCAAGGGCATTCTACTTTTTATTATTATTGTTATTATTAGTATTATCTTTTATTATTATTATTATTCGTTGTTGTTGTTGTTGTTTTTGTTGTTGTTGTTTGTTTGTTTTTGCTGCACGTTCAGATAGGTTGGTGCAGAGGGAAGTATGCCATGATCAAATTTCTTGAYCCCCTCCGTATACTACTTCCCTTTTCCAGACTGTCCCTTCAACCTCTTTTTTYCCCCTGTTGTTTCTCTTTCATTTCACCGAGATTCTACGGGATCGCGATAGAATGTAGAATGCGCATGCGCAAATGATTTTCTATCTAAAATATCCTTTCAATCTCTAATGCTATTTGCCTCCAATACTATACTGTACCTYTAATTCTACTATACCTCCCTTGCTACTATAAACCCCACTCTACTATTGATGGTCTTCACGGTGGCCATGTTGGAGGAACTTAACAAAAGAATTGTCAATGAATTCTTTTGTTATATCCTCCAACATGGCCGCCGTGTCTTTTGCTATTTAATTCTCTGGGGAATGGTTAAACAGCCATCAATACCTCCAAACATAGTACGATGATAGGTCACTTGCATTGTAGCATCATTTACTACCACTACCCAAATCCCTTGCATACTTTCTTTTGTTCAGTTAATTAGCACCAATTGTCTTATTATTCTCTTGAGGAAATAAAAATTTGAAGAAAATTCGCGAAGCATTTTAGYAGTAGTTGTAACGACGCCATCATGCAAACGGCTTATTAGTCAATCTTTGACCATTCGGCATTTTAATTTTGTCCAAAAACCTTTGACCCGTAATCCTGAAATAATGATGAATTATTAGTTATTCTCTCAGTTTCTTTCTGGGTTGCCTCTCATTTTACCTAAATGAAAACTTTAATCCAAGAATCCAAGAATTTCTATTTATTCTTGATCCCCAGTCCAGTTAAAACCAGTATTCTTTGATCTTATACCTCGTTATTAGCATGGCATCAGTTTATAAACACTAACGTACTATCTATAACTATTTATATCATTATAAGCAATCATACCTCGTGGGAAGTCGATTGAATACCGCATTGGAATCCAAACTCGCTTCACAGATTTCAACTCTCGGGCTACAAAAGAAAGGGAATCAGTTTAGTCATAATCTAGGGTTTTTTCCCTCGTTTTCCAAAGTGGCCCTTTCCGAGTGGACCTGGGTACGAACTTAACGAATTCAACACATCTGCCGTACATAGCAGTCGACGCCTCGTTTTATTTTTGAATCATCATATTTCGTGGTATAATAGAAAAAATTCCGAAACAAAACCACTTGTCTCAATTTGATAATATGAAATTCAAACATATTTTATTTTAGATTGTTTATTTGTTATTTGAATATTCGCTCGTCCTGCATGTTGCTTTGGTAAAATATTAGATCTTCTCATATTATATTCTAAAAATACCAATTACTGTATGCATTGATCAAATGTAGCTTATAAATTATCAAAGAAAGGACGCGACGCTTCTAAAAATAACCCGGACTGATCAAAAGCATCAAGATTGGCTAGTTGACACKTAAGATGAAAGTTAAAATAACAAAATGGCGCCATTATGACATTTTCCTTGGAATATTATTCGTCGTTGTTTTGCTTAATTTCTTTTTTCGGTTAGCAAGGGTGAATGAAAATAAGTTTAAAAAAAACAGTCCGAATCATTCCATTTCCTGACTTTTCGTTTCCACAGCAACAGTATTTAGACCATTATCTCATTGCTTCTAAATTTGTAWTTTATTTTCATGGTAAAATATTTGATGCTAAACATTATATATTTTTCTTCRTATTTTACTACAAGCCAGTCCATAATAACAGATGCCTACAAAATATGATTCTAGATGATGAATTTTTATTCTTCTATACTTCTGTCATGTCTACTTCTCCCTCCATACTGTGAGGTTTGATAGCTTTTCCAATATGAAAATAATAGTCATTCTAGGGAAAGGTTTTTTTTAAGTCACCGCGTAGCCACATGATAAATTTACTTTTATTCTGTACTCTGCTTAACAAGGAAGCCGTTTAATTATTCTAACCTTGTTTCACTATATTCGAGTCCAGGGTTGCTGAAAAAAAAAAACTTTATAAGTAAATAAGCTTTGGTGTTTTCACTACGTACATTTTTTAATAACATGCTCTCTTCAACGGAGATCGTATATAGTAATTGTTATTCTTATTAGGTGGCCACGAAGAGCCATTGAATAAAACAGAAAAAATGGGATAGCCGTTTTCGACAGAATTTACTCGTTATGTTTAGTCAAATGTAGTCTGAAATTTATCTTCAATTTTATTATAAAATCGACAATGTGGAATTCAGTTTGAAACTGGTAGTAAAGGTCCACTCCTCGTGGAACATGCAGAGAATATGATTCATATGGTATATCTTAATATAATTCACGTTTTTGGTCTTTTYTTCTCATTTACAAGGCCACGTAGGACACTGATACTAACATACTAAAATATATACAATTTACAATTCACTCGTTTTTACATACCGTTGTTTTAACCACGTATTCTTACCCTTGAGGGATGCTTGTTTTCGGTGCGCTCTGTCTCAATCGGTTTATTCACTTAATGTTCTTTATAGTACGTTATTAAAGCAGGCAAGCAGAATCTATGAAAATGGACATATCAGTAAGGATTCGGCAGTTTTTGATGGTGAATATTTAATGTGTTGTGATAAAAAGATGAATAGGTTAAAGGCTCAAAAATAATTCGAGGTAACTGTGCTACCGAGACGTTCAGCCTATGGGGATCGCAGTGCAAAGTGGCTGATTTCTCCCGACCTACGGGCGACGCCGTATCAATGAAACCRCACAGGGAGCGTGCATTGCAACAAATCCAGTTTTAATTGCTAACAATTCCTATAGCCTAGCCCAAAGCATCAATAAATCGTGTAAACGAGCACGTATCCAATTAAACCTTTTTGAATATTTCATTTACCTGCCTTTCTACATTTCGTCAGTCGTGCACAATCATAAAAATAAAAATAAAAACAAGTACCTAGATGACCTCCAGCAGTTTCTGACGATTTAAAAAGTAAGGTTCGGTATCCATAAATGATTAATTGACTTGCGATATTTCAATGTAGGAAACAAAGTAGCCCGAGTGAACAAAAGAAGACGTACGGAGTTATAATGGCCTTTTGGGACGTAATTGGCAATAGACCTTTTTGCTTTGGCGTCATCTTTTTCCATTTCAAATCACTTGTCATTCCCTAGAGTATTGTTACTTTGTTTAACAGTTGCGCATGAGAAGACACATGAATATGGATATGACTCAAGCAAAGAATCTTATTCTCATGGAAATGACATGTGATATGAAATGGGAAARACAACCATGACGCCCAAGGTAAAGAGGTCTCTTGGTTTATAGTTTACAGGTCTATTGTTGAGTTTCGGCCTAGCTGGTGAAACCCTAACCACAAWGTGCTGTCGGCTATAAATTCAGTTGATGAACATTCCGCATGAGACAGGAAATGACGTCAAGCCGGGAACCCAGCAATTTTAAAATTAGCCCTATGGACTTATATTTCGGAGAGCTTACTAAAACAAAGGCTTTTACATTTAAGATTTAGAGTGTAAATAACAAAACTAAGACAATAATAGTGAGATAAATAAAATGATCGCCTAAACTGATCAAAAGGTCCGCGCTGTCGTTCTAATGAGTGTGTGTTATTTGCGTTACGACAACCCACACAAAAATAACGTCTTTACACTCTTTCAGTTGCTAAGTTCAAATAAAGTAATACAAAGAAGGTTCTGAATCTTGATGAACTGCTTTATGACGTGCTCTATTTCATCCAAAATATACGATGCGTGCTATGGGCACAAAAGCATAATTCATTATTTTGGAATAATTTCTTCTTGAAGATAGATTAAAATGATAAAACTGAATCGAGAAAGAACAAAAGAAAAGAAAAGAAAAAGATAGGTCGTGTAGAAATCATTTTGCTATAATTCGACCCTAGACTCCTACCCAACGCGCGGCCAACCTCAAGGCAAGGCAACGTAGTCCAGGAGTCAAAATTTTTTAAACAAAAACAAAAAATGCCGTTGTTTGGAAAGAGGCACAAATCACCTCGTAGAAAGCTAGAAGCGGGGGCTTCTAACACTCTAAAGTCTTCACTAGGTCTRCCAGAACATAGTGGAAACCCCAGTGATCCAAACAATCCTGTAAAATTAACTCTTGGGGGAAACGAGCTGGTTTTCCAAGATGGCGAATGGTATTCAGGTAAATCCTGTAAATCTGCTAACTTTAAGATTTATAAACTAACTTTATAAACTTTTCTATGACAAAATCATTGCATTGACACGAAAGGTCTACTCTTTTTTTTGACTTGTATTTGATTTYCGTACGAAAGTATTTTAAATTTAATTCCCCTCTGTTAAATTGAGCCAAAAGTTCTTCCRCTGATAGTTTTTTTTAAATAACCCAAGTCTTGTAAATTCGAAGTATGGTTTARTTATACCAGGTATTCAGAAGTTAATTCCTTTTCATGTTTATGAATCTCTTTTATAGAAACTAATCCGGGAGTTGGAGGCAAAGGCAGCGCAGAAGTTAACAAACTACAGAARCAAAATACTCAGTTAAAAGAAGAAAATAACTATTTGAAGTATAAAATTGATGTTCTGTTAGACATGGTTAGTTTAAGAATRTCGTTAAAAATTGCTATTATCATACTCTACTCAGAAGGCCCATTGCCAGAAYATTGGAAAGGGGGGTTAATATTTGCCATTTTAATATGGTTGAAGGTTTGTTCGAGCTTTGTCCTCCATTGCTGTTCAGGCCCTCCCCATCCCATGCATTTCATTTCTTTTGTGTGTTTTTTCTTTGTTGAATGCATTTATTTTATTCCTTTTTTGCAATTTTATCTAAGGTTCRTCTAACATACATATATATAATGTGTATTTGTAGCTCGACACTGTTGATTATTAATGGTACCCATTATGGGATATCATTTACCTAAAATTCCTCTTACAAATGAATAACAGATTTCATTTTCTATTTCTAAAGCTTGCAGCAACTACAGCAGATTGCAATGTGATAGAAAAAGAACTAGAAACATTACAAAGTCAGAAGAGAACTCGAAGCATGCAGAGATAAAGGCATGACCTTACTTCATTCGTAGTGACAACAAAATCACAACAGGTTAACCAGAAGTATACTACTTTCAATGAGACCAATCACACACATGGCAACTGTGGAAAGCCATGTGGGAATGATCGAAGCTTGCAGGGAAAAGAGGCTTGACCTTACTTTATTCTTAGTGTCATAACTTGCGACATAACACCAGACTAAACATACACTTAAAAAAGATGCATGTACATGGGAATGATTCGTTTGATTGATGGTAGAGTGCATACCTTATATCGGTGAAAAATATTGCACAAAATTGCACACATTAGTAAGTTCAATAGATCTCAGTAGACTGCATCTACCTACAAACTTTGTACTAATTTGACATTTATTTTGTACAAAGTTGACTTTTTCAAAAAAATATGGTATGCACTCTAGTCTATTGCAAACTAATCTGTCCAGACTGATTAGCACAATGTATTAAAATCAGGAGTGAAGAGACTGGCATTGAACATCTGCTTTTTATTGAATGCTATTCCATCTCTTAGTTGTGCCCTATGACAATCAGGAATGTTGCTTTTTCTTGATGATGCCGCATCGTGGTGCTTAATTTCAATTACACCTTTACCAGTTTGTTTATTAGGAAACTCATGTTTCCCTTCCATGTCCACGAAATAATTGCTCCAAGTTAAAGTTTGACCTACTTTGTTCATACAKTTTACAGTATTTTATTGTGTTCGACCTCAACTTCATAAATTTGTATTTGTTGTATTTATGTATAGATGTAAAAAAAGCAAGTTTTTCATAAAGTGCTGGCGATCTCAGAATGCTCTGGTATTGGAGTAAAATTCTCCAGCTGAATCTACCATTAATATCTTAGTAAATTGTCAAATGTTCACTTGGTCCTCAGGACTCTATGKACTCAACTAGCTCACTTAAAATATTTAAACTCATTAAAGTACTGGATGTACATAACATTTTTTATCAAAGTTATAAATAAAGAAACAAGGCATTTGATCTATTTTTATTAGTATAGGTTGGATAGTATGCACCTCTAAWAGACCCTTGCATGTTACATAAAAGCAGCTCAATTTGGAGGACAAAACAAAAKAATTTCAATCTCATGAGAATTGGAAATCTATTGTTATGTCCTCCAATTATTGAGCTGCATTGCGACGTGCTGCAAGGCAGGTCTATACACATGCAATGGAGCATTGCTGCTAATGCAATGTGGGCATACACAACAGCGCTGGCAAGGAAGTGTAAAAGAAACAACATTAAAAACTACATGATAAAATAAGTAAAACCCTTTTTGCGTTCTGTTCAGTGCTGTATTACTGAACAGAACACAAAATAAGGCATGTCTCCTATCAATGTCAAAAGCATGGGAGTGTGGAAGTGATGAAACTACACGTATGGTATAAAAATTAGTAATTCTTGTTCACAGTTGTACTAGTTTCAATCTATATAGTCACCTTGCTATGCCTTCTTGAATTGACTCAAAACAGTTTAAACAATGCTCTGTTCAAAAAACGTTTTCAGAAGACTCTATTTTCATGGTATAAATAAAGAAACAAGAAGCTGACAACAGTATGGAATAGGCCATTCAAATACATGATGGCATTTAACTACCACTACCAACATTTGTACTTCCTAATGAGAATAGTAAGACAATTGGTGCTAATTAACTGAACAGAAAAAGTGTGCAAAGGATTCTGGTAGCTGTAGTTAATGATGCCATATTGCTAATGGTAATATTGGTAAGTTTCATTTGGATTTGTCTTGAAAAAAGATCAATGAACAGGGCYAAAAATGAGGGCTGGTCATTGGACAATGTCCAGCTAGATTTGAAACTTGTGCAGTCAAATGTTTGCCTTGCCAGTCATTTTCACCAGTAAGGTTGACCCATAAAAAAGGTCCAGTATGACTGAGCTAAAACTAATTTGGGTTTTTATTATGACCAGCAACTGACCAGCCATTATTTTTAACCCTGCTAAACATCATATATTATCACAAATTTTGAATCAACTTGCATATTTACATGCAATGTGCACAATTTTCAGGCCTTTTTTGTTAAGAAGTTTAACAAGTTTTTGAATTGTTCATCTTCTTGGTGGTGGGGGTACCCCCATTCCACCAGATGCCGCTGCATTGGGTCCCAGTAAAATCTGTCGCTGTTGCTGCAGCTGAGCTTCTTCTGTTTGCACCCGCTCTACCTCAAAAATCACTGGTAGAGCAAGAATCATGAAGGAGGTGCCGGCTATCCAAAGACTTTGGCTTGTGAAATTGTACAACCACTTTGCTCCRCTGAAGGTATACCCTGTCATAGAAGATGCTGCATTGCATAGACTTTCTGGAAACATCTCTGATAATCCAACTATTCTTTCTAGTACTGTCTCTTGTAYATTGTCGAGATTCTATGAATTTAAAATATATCAAGAACATGTCAAAATCAATTTGTCATTATTCTAGGGGTGAATGTTACATCATAGCCGCCATCTTGGTTGACGGTAATAAAGCATTCCTCATGAGCTTCTCTTGCTAGATCAACAAACATGGCGGCTGTGTCACTTACTCGTATCCCAAGGGAATTTGAGTCATGTAGTTGAASCCAAAGAATAAGTTTAGAAGTTGCATAGATTTTTTGTGCACCCTAAACCAATTTATTTAGCWACGAATTTAGCAAATTGATCAAGAGATTGATATTGGGAAAGCAATATGGTTTTTGTTTGTTACTTTTTGACTCTTTTATGCCTTTTTTCCAAGGAAAATTCTTGAAGACAGCAAAGATCTTGTGTAAGAAACCACCCACGTGTTCAAAGCACAAATCAATTTTTATAGCACAACATCGCAAAACATGGGGATCTTACCTCATCTTCAAGAGAATGAAGCTCAGGCATTCTGAATTTTTAAGAATTGACCACCGATCTTAGAGTAATAGCAAAAAAAATCCGGATTTTTTTGTGAAGGATTTAGATTTCTTCAGATGGTGAGCTTCGTCAATCCTYGTGTCAGCAGATTGGACGACGGGCTCAACATCCACCCAGGCTCCCTCGATCAATTTCTTTACTTTTCCCAACTAAAAATTATAWCAAACCAGACTTTTTCTCTGAAAACTGACAAGAAAATAACTCTCCTAAACCAGAATTTTGAATCTTATCATTTTTTAGATCTGTTTTTAATTTTTTAATGG